TTTGCTGGAAGCTGTCTCTAGGAGTGTGGGGAAGAGATTGTGGAAAAGAGAGTGCAAGTGCAGGGAGGGGAGGAAATAAAGCAAGAAGCAGCTGTGTCAGGGAAGAGCCTGAGGAGGGATGGGGACTATTTGAGTTAGTAGAAGGATTCCAGGTGCTACTGACTTCTTGCTCTGGCGAAGCAAGAAGCTTCTTGTCAGCACCTTGCCAAAATGAGGACGAACAGTTCATTCTTCAACCGGGCAATCCCGAAAATAGATTGAGGCCCGTTAACAGTTTGGGCGTGATGAGTGTTTTACCCTATTTTACTCATAGGGCTTGAGGAGAGGCCCTGCCAAAGTACTGATCTCCCTGATACCTGAACAATGTTGCTCTTGAGACTGCACAGGGGAAGACCAGCCTGGCCTAATCTGGACTATCGACTCTGTCCATGTGGCTCTTCCCTTCCCCAGCTTATGCAGGGTTCAAACATGACTTTCAAAGAACATCAAGAGCCCTCAAGACAAGGCCATCTCCTTCAGCAGAAGTTGTTGCCTTGAAGCTATGGAGCTATTGACCTGTAATTACAAAACCTTGTGGAGAAAATACAAGTCCGAGTATAGCAAAATTCCCACCTGGGTGGCTAATGTGCATCTTGTGCACGCCTGAGCTCCTTTGAAAACTGTGCATTTATGCTTTGTGATTTTTAACTGAAAGCTATGAGTCTTACTAGAGTAGGTAGACAGTTCTTTGTAGATTCATGTCTTTTGGAGGATTAGTGATGGTCTTCTTTCGAATCCATCCATTACTAATCAGAGAGGCTGTCAGACAACATGGGCTTGTCTTCCTCACCTATGTTCATGTGTTGTGTTGGTATAACATGCAGCTGCTCATGTACCAGCATCTGGCTTTTCCTTCCCACCAGTCTGTGCAATGGGGCATCCCAGAATGTAGGGATTTGCATGAGTATTCCCTCTGTCCAGGGGACCAGCCACCCCAACAATGAACTAAGCTTCAATGTGCCTCAAATGCACACCCGATGTCAGCTGCTGCACATCCGCATTGCCAAAAAGCTGCCAGTGTGCTTCAAACTCAGTTATTCTTGCTTCAAATGCATGTGGAATAAGGAACTGAGCACAAAATCCCAGCTTCCTCCTTTTGTGATGTTTCCAGGGAGACTGCATACTGAATTTGGTGATCTGACTTTTGCAGTGAAAACAGGAAAGCAATGCTAGTTATAATCATAGCACAATCTGTAGAGAGAGATGTGCAGGAAAAAAAAGTGAGAAAGACATAAGGTGTTCTAAGTTTATGCAAAAGGAAGCACTGAGGTCCATTTATTTTCTGCACGGACATTCAGATTTCACTGGAAAAGTCATACATTACTGGAAGCAGTGTCTCAATTGTATGATTAAAAAAAATGGTTTCTTAGCTAATATAAGTCATGATGACAATGCTTGAAATTAATTTTGCGGCAAATCTGATAGGGACAGAAGTTTTTCTGTTCTTCCTGTCGGTTGTCCAGGGATTACTGTCTTTATTGTGGCGAGGTTGGCCAAAGAGTCTTGGTCTTGCCATGAGATTTCCAAATCCCTGCAATGCTGTTGGTAAAGTCCCACAATTTCAGAGACAGCAGTTCTGTTTCTAAAACGGAAAGCGACTGCAGTCTGCAATCTACTTTCGATCTCTGGCCTCTGACAGTCTGAATATTTGGCAAAAGATGATCTGTTGTTGTACCAGCCCCTAGGGTACTGAAAACAGACAGAAATGCTTTAAAAATGATTTTGATTCTATTGTTTGTTCAAGGTCTTGTTTCCAGAACTGAAGGAGTTTCATCCTCTCTCCTTGCAGTCTTCCCTGATGATCTCGGAGGACAGAAGGATTTGGTGTTGTGCCTATGTACAAACATCATGCCATGGTCCTGAAACAATGGGCTTTCCCTTTATTTTTCAAGTTATTTTAGCTGAGGAGGCTGCTTGCTTTTACATGAACATGGGAGTTTGAAACTATGGGGAGATATAACTAAGGTGATCACCTTAGAGCCTCTTCCATGTACAAGATTAGAGCAAAGCTCCTCCTATCCCAGCATCCATTCGCTCTCAGGTCACACTGCTGAGCAGGTAGTATTTGGCAGTTGCAAATCTGCATCTCTTATCAAAGATAGAAAGCCTATATATCTTGTACCTGGGCAGTTAAGGTAACAGGCAACAGGGCTTGAACAGTCATCTTTCTTACAGACGTCTAGAGTTGTTTTTCCTTAGCATGAGTATCTGTTGGTCAAAATATAGGCATCTTTTTCAAAAATTAAATGCAGTGTATGGTCGACTGGACTACTGCGACAGTGGCTATCTCTATACTAAATGAAAGACAAAAAATATTTTTCTAGAGTAATATTGATTTTTTTTTTGAAGAGTGGTTAGGGCTGTTTCACTACTCAGATTTTCCATACCTCCGTTCATGTACATAGCCTGTATATCAGAAGTGTGAGAAATCTGGAAAACCCCAGGTTACCTCAGACTACTAATTTCAAATGATGTCTGTAGGGGCTTACCCTACAAAACAATCGTGATGAGCATAAATATATTTTGGGGGTTCCTTGCAAAGTCTAGCCACTTGAAACTCCTAACAGACAAGCTGTTGTTTTTTCTGGATAACGATGAAGTTCCAGGGATGTGTTCATGGGAGTGAGTATGCTCAGCCTTTTGTAAAGTGTCTGCCTGCAGTGCTAGTGTAATGCTCACACATTTTGAGTCACTGCTGTATGTTGTTTAATTCTGAAGGAAGACTGAACAGGCAAAACAATTCATAAGCCCATGGACAGTCTGTCCTCCACATAGCCAACATGGACAGTCTGTCCTCTACATAGCCCACTGTTTCTCTAAACCCAGAGTTGTAGATGTGCAGTGCTCTCTGTATTCCCGGTACTCTCATATGTGGCACTAGGCTAAGTGATGTGGTAGAATAGAGATGTTTTAGAGTGGGTGCTGTTTGCACTGTATCACCTTTCTTGGGTGATAACAGTGCTGGATCTGACAATTTGCCATCAGTCTCAGCTCAGAAGCCTGCCCTCAGTCATTCCTCTTTGACCGGTGGAGGAGCATGTTCATTCGACATACACTCTTACTCGGCAGGCAGAGGATGGGGCGGAAGCACCCATGTAAGGGCACGTCTGTATGTACGATACAATGTCAGAAGAGAAGAGGTTGTTCACCTCCCCTCTGTGCTGTGCTCCAGAGTGGAATCAGCATGTTAATCAGTGTGTTGACTGCACTCTGCTTTAATGGCACTTCTCCTTCCCTTCTGCCACTGTTCCCCTGTTCCCCAGCAAGTGACACCTTCTTCCATGGTGATTTTGTCACAAACTGTAACCATGTGGGCATGGCAAAAATAACTGTATCCCTCCTTAATCTCCAGCTTTTGAAAGCTGGTAGAATTAAAAAGGAGTGCTTCTTGCAGGCATGCTTAGTCTCCAAAGGCAATACCTGTGTGCAGAGAATGCAAGAAGTTGACTAAGTTTACCCTCTTTCTCCTCTTGTTATTCCACTACTCCAGCAGGAGTATGCAGACTTGGAACTTTCTCCCCCGCCTTTATTTATTTATTTTAAACCGCAAGCTTTGCCTCAGAATTTGTGTTGCTATCATGAACTCCAAGCCCTGAAGAACTGGAAGAAGCTCTAGGAAGAAAAACCCTAACAGGTTAGTTGGAAAGGAAAAGCATGCTTAAAACACTAACACAATAATATGGGATAATATACGTGTGTAGATCAACTTGCAGTTTTGCCAAACAAAAAGGAATCACTGGCCGCAGGCTACTGATCTGACATAGATGGATAACTAAATAGGTGACTGACTAGGTGGGTGAGTATTTAGAGGTAGGATGGCAACGCACGAGCTAGTGCACAGGACCTATGTTTTAAAGAGCTGCACTGACAAGACTGACACTGCCACATTGGTGTTTTGACTCTGGAAAGGGGACAACCTCATCTCTCTGCATGATGAAAATGAGCAGTTTGGCCCCTCTGGAAATTTTTTTTTCTTCCTCTTTCTGAGAGGATCTGAGAAGAATTCCTCACTTGTCATTTACTCAGGCAGACAGCAAGCATCAGTGGTCTTGGCATTTGCCCTGGTGCTCCAGAGGAGTAAGGAGCAAACTCTCCCAAGAGCATCATCTCACTTCTCATTTGACTTATTGGAAGGGTGAGGGCTGACGGTAACATAACCATCATTCTGCCGTGCTGAGGGCTTTGTTTTTTGGGAAAAAAAAAAAAGGGATGACGAAGAAGGCTGCATGGTATTTTGTTTTCATTGCACAGGAGGTTTTCAGTATTTTATCTGACAGGAGTGTTCACAACTGCAGAAAGTTACTGCCCTGCTGCTGAGTTCTGCTGAGGCGGACGGTGGGAAACCTCTCCTGTGGAAGCGACTGGTGACTCCTTTTTCATAGTAGAGTAAAGGAAAACAAGAGGAAAATTGATTCTTTTAGCCAGAAATTATTTGGACTCCTGAAACACCAGGCACGGCCTGTGCCAGGAGCGGGTGGGCAAGCTCCCTTGCCCC